CTAACCCAGCCTCACAGGGAGATGGGGATGTACTGTAGCGATCGAGCGTCACTGCCCTCTGCTGGATATTATCAGAGCAGCGCAGGTGTGTGTCATAAGCCCTATACTGCTATCAACTAATGGAGATTCTCCGCTAGCTCAGGTGCTGGGGCCTGGGTTCCTGGAGCAGAAGGGTGCCGTTTTAACCCTGCTGTCACCATGTCCAGCATTGAGCGATGACAGGGAAGGTATGGGGGGGGCAAGAATTTGATACAGAGGGGGGGAAACAGGCACAGGAGGGCTGACACCCTTAGTGGTAGCGCTGGGAATAGAACCCGGGAGTCCTGAGGCCTAATCTAGTGCCCTACCCACTGGCCCGCACTGCCTCTCCTGATGCCAGGTGAGCACATTCACAGAACAGAGCTGATGTCCTAGGCCCCTTTGGCATGGGCCTGCGGAGTCCATTCCAGCTGGCTGCGGGGATCCAGTTCGGCTCTTCCCCCCCTCCCGTTTCTAAGAGAATTTACGGGCTCAGGAGGGGGGTGGAGTTTGCCTTCTAGGCTCCGCCTGGAATGGTGGCAGGGAAATCCTGGACTGGAATCCTGCCCATAATGCACCCGTCTGGAATGGACTCCGGCTGCAATCCTGGCTCTGGGCCCCTGACAGGGCGTGTGTCAATGGGCCCCCATCCCATCAGGGGAGGCCGTGCAGGGGGAGTTCGGGGCTGGGTGGAGGGGGATTCAATTGACCCTGCTGTAGCCCGGAGATTCCCACGGTAACCCCCCCCCCCAAGACATGGGTAAGCCCAGGGGTGCCCGTCAGGGCAGTTCCCCGCCTCAGCCCGAGGGGAACACTGCAGAGCACGTCCCCGTCCCTGTCCCCGTCCCCCCTGTTTGTAGCTGATTGGCCTTGCTGGAGCTCAGCCCGCGCTCTGGCCACATGTTCCCTGCCTGGCCAGGCCCCTGCTGAATGGCTGGCCGGCCTCCAGCACATCTGCAGGGAGCGCGGCCCAACGGCTGCAAAACCTGGAGGCCATGACGACAGCAGAGGCCACTCCGGCCTGTTTCCTCCCAGCTGGGTCCCAGAGCCCGAGCCCCCCACAACGAGGCACCTGCTGCTGCCCCGGCTCCATCGCCTGCCCCTCTGCAGATTGGAGAGGAGCGCCTGACTCCCCCTCCAGAGTCCCCATTCCCCCCCCAAATCTGCCATCAGCTTGAGGACCAATTGGGTTTGATCTTTGCGGCCCCTGTTGCAAATAGATCCAGCGCCTCCCCCACTTTGTCGGGCCATTTGGGGAACCCCCCGGCTTCGCCTGAGGACTGGAGCAGCCCAGGGACCACGTGGCCTCCCCCACCATCGGCTCTTGAGCTAAGGCTGGGGTGGGTGTGACCCTATGCAGCCCTGATGGGGTTTAATGCACCCCCCCTGCATCCCAGAAAGCAGGCCAGGCCTCATTTGGGGGGGCAACTGGGGACAGGGAACTGGGCATCCCGGCATTCTGTGTTGGGGAGGGCTCCCCATCCCACCTCCCCTTAGGGGGCCTCCCGGGATCCCACGTCAGCACCTTCCTCTTCCCAGCCCCCCTCGCCCGGGAGCTATGCGAGGAATTCACAAACAATCCGGCTGTTGGCTCAGGGTCCGGCCTGGTGTGTGTGGGGAGATCCGGTTTCCCGGCTCCGGCCAGCTGCGTAGGGAGCCCAGGAATGCGCCGCTGACCCCAGCCAGCCCCCCACCCCTTGCGCCATCTTCCTGGGGCCTAGCCAGGGAAGGGGCAGACAGTCCTGCCCTCCCACCTGGGTTGGTGGTGGGGGGATGCTCCAACGTTGGGGGCCTGAGAGGGCCACAACGAGGGGCATGGTCTAACAGGCGCATACATTTGCATGTATTTTGCTGAGTTGCTTTGTTTCCAAGGCCCAATTTCGGAGCGCCACCTCCTGGCCCGTTCTGCCCCACGGGCGTTCTCCTGTCTCCCCCACCCGATCTGTCTGTCCTCCAAGCCCCAAGGCATCCCAGCTCCGCTCTGGGGGCGTGAGCCCACCCTCCCACTCCAGGCCAGGTTTTCCTCCTCGCTCCTCGGGAGGGAGGGGCAGAGCCCCTACCTGCCTCTGCTGCAGACTGGGTGGGTCCCTGGCCTTTCACCTGCCTCAGCTGCAGGGAAATCCCGGCCTGGGATCTAGTCCCCGGTGGTCTGGGCTGGAGACTGGTTACCCTGCAGGAGGCGTCTGTGACTAACTGGGGCTGGTCCTAGGCCCGGGCCCCCCAAACTCCCCAGAGCGAGAGGAGGCGGCGGCTGTCACCCCCATAGCGGAGAGACTCATAGATTCTAGGACTGGAAGGGACCTCGAGAGGTCATCGAGTCCAGTCCCCTGCCCGCACGGCAGGACCAAATACTGTCTAGACCATCCCTGATAGACATTTATCCAACCTACTCTCAAATATCTCCAGAGATGGAGATTCCACAACCTCCCTAGGCAATTTATTCCCGTGTTTAACCACCCTGATAGTTAGGAACTTTTTCCTAATGTCCAACCTAGACCTCCCTTGCTGCAGTTTAAGCCCATTGCTTCTTGTTCTATCCTGTGACCTAGTGCTTAGAGTGGAGGGAGGGATAGCTCAGTGGTTTGAGCATTGGCCTGCTAAACCCAGGGTTGTGAGTTCAATCCTTGAGGGGGCCACTGAGGGATCTGGGGCAAAAATCAATACTTGGTCCTGCTAGTGAAGGCAGGGGGCTGGACTGAATGACTTTTCAGGGTCCCTTCCAGTTCTAGGAGATAGGATCTCTCTATTAATTATCATGACCCTTCTGTCACTGACTCACTGGATGGGCTTGGGGAGCCAATCTCCCTGTCTTCTCCATGCCTCAGTTTCCTCATCTGTCAGATAAGGGTTGCTGATTCCCTGCCCTTGGGGGAAAGCTTTCTATCCATCTGTCTATTCCTCCATATCCACCTCTCCCTCCCTCCATACTTTTCTCTCTCTCCTTCCCAGCTCACCCTGCCAGGCATCTGGCTCTAATAGCCTCTCTTCTCTGCAGCTCAGCTCCCCTGGGACCCGGCTGCTCCCTCCCCAGGGCTCCCCACCCCCCAGAGCAGCATCCGCAGCTGGGCCCTTTGTTTGTTCCAGCCCTGGAGCTGGGTTCCACATCCCCTCCACTTGGAGTGGTGCTTGTCTCACCTCCAGGTGCTGGCCCACCCTGCAGTGACCTCAGAGACCCCCCACCTGCAGGAGAGACCCTGGGGGGGGGGCATCCAGCCCCAAATACCTAGAATCAACTGCCCCATGAAACCTCACCCCAAGCCCGTAAACTCCTCCAGGTGCAAGGAGCTGGGGTGGGTGCCCTGTTCTGGGGGGGAGCCCTTTGGGTTCTGTTCTGCACCCCCCAACCGGGGCTCTCCCAGCCTGCCTCCCCCACCCAGGATCTCCCAGCGAGCACAGATGGGTGTGGACTGGGGGCCAGCTTGCTCCAGGGTGAAGATGGGCAGGGGGCTGCTGATTTGTCTCAGTTCCCCCAGAATCTCAGTGTGATCGGCACCCAATTCCGCACCTCCTAGGCCAGCTGCCTTGGGGCCGGCCCACCCTAGAGGGGAAAGGGCCCATGTCCCATTCCCTGCTCCCTCCCCACAAGCCAGCCAGTGCCCACCCTGGGGCCGGATCAGAGCTGGCACCCCCTAGGGGAAAGGCCCCATGTCCCATTCCCTGCCCCCGCCCCCCGCTCCAGCCAGTCCTCTCAGCTTGGGCCATCCTGACGTCACAGCTGCAGAGAGATGCCAGGGCCAGATTTTCCAGGCCAGGCCCCACAAGTGCGTGTTCTGGCCATGCCCAGCAGCCCCAGTCTGAACCCCTGCCCCAGATGAGGGGGGGAGAGAGGAAGGGGTGGTATGGGAGCTCTGGACTGGGAACAGTCGGGTGCGTGGCTGGGACTCCAGCTTCCCGTGTGCCGCACAGCACGGGAAGGGTTAAGTCTGTCCCCATCCTGATCCGGGTGTGTCCCCCCCACATGTCGCTGGGCCTGGGTGGGGCCTCGTGATCCCCGGCTACGGAGAGCAGGGAGCCCCATGGCCCCGGAGCGCTCCCCATCCCTCGGTGACTCATGTGAAAGACACACTAGGTAACACCCAGCGAGGGCAGTGTGGCATGACCCAGCCCAGAGGGGGCGACGCTGAGACCGGCTTGCACAGCTCCTAGGGTGGGGGTGGCCTCAGGGTGACCCCGTTCCTGCCAGGAATATCCCCCCCCATCTGGAGACCATGCCCCTCCCCCAGGCTGGGGCTACCCTCTGTCTAACCCCCGCAGTGTTGGCCACCAGGGGGTGCTGGTCTGCACCCACCCGCCCCTCACCAGGCCCCAGGTGACAGCCCTGCCCAGACATGGCTGGGAGATGAGTGGGGGTCTCAGTAGGGGGCGCTCTCCCCTGCCAGTCAGTGCTGGGCCCAAGGCCTGCCAGGAATGGGGGTAAGGGGCTGGTCTCACGTGGGGGGCCGGCTGGAACAGGGGTCTGGGCCTGCCCGGGGGGGCTGTTCCCCGAGTAGCGCGGGCCAGACAGCCGGAGACAGGACGTCGGGCCCAGCACCCCGAATGCCAGCCTGGGCCTTCGCACCCCGCCGCCGGGCCTGGGCAAGGCCCAACTTCCCGCTGCTGGGTGCGTGCAGCGCCTGGCGCGGCGGCGGGGAGGCCGGACGCTGGTTTCTCCCCGCGACCCTCCTAAAGCCGAAACCAGGGCAACACCCACCCCAACCCCAACCCCTTCTGCAACGCCCCAGCCACCGTGGCACCCCCGGGCCCAGCGGCTACTGAGTCTTTGGGCTGGTTGCCCCCGGGGCCGGCATTATTTCGGGGACCCCCCCCGGGCCTGTGCTGTGCAGGAGGTCAGACGAGAAGGAGCCACAGTGGGTCCCTTTCCGGCCTGGGACCCGGTGGGGGAGGAGAAGCGGCCCCTCCCTCGGGCGCCGCTCCCTCCGCGGGCGCTAGGACCCAGTGGAAAGTTGTCATCCCGGCCCTAGATTCCAGGCTGGCTTCCCTGGGTGTGACGTCAGCCAGCAGCCCGTCCCCCCCCCTCCAGCGCCCCCCCCGCCCCGTTCCCAGGCCCGTAACATTAGGGAGGAAAATGTTACTTTCCGTCCAGCCGCGGGCCGCCATCGCCACATTTGGCTACAATAAGACCAGCAAGAAGGTAGGAAAAGCGACTGCGTCCTGCCCCCCCCCGCCCCAGCGCGCCCCAATGCCTTTGC